CAACTGAACATATTAGGACTTAACTGGATCATTTAAACCTGAAAATATAACTATTGTACGCTGAACATGAAAAGGACCGTGGCGGGCGCGCCGTGCGCCGCCGACGGCTATACGCCGTCTCCCGGCCAAAACACCTTATTATCCGGTAACTTCAGAACAACTCAACATGATCATTATTATGAAGCAATTTAACACATAAACACACGGACAATCTGATCAGTACTGAAATCACTAAGACTCGGACCGCGGCCGCCCGTGGCTACGCGCGATAGGCGCTAGCGACGGCGTGGGCCAACTCATCGACCAAACTCCAACTTTACACGACAAACTGAACTTACTGAACATGAAGTCAGTTAAACTGAACATTTAAACGTTAATGGTTCGAGAGCTGCCGGAAGAAATCGAAAATAACTCGGTCATGCTCTTTCTTAAACGTAATCGGACTTAGGCACGGTTTTCTTAAAAATTTTCGAATATGATCCGAACACTTAACTCTGAAATAACCTTACTAACATGATTCTAACAAGAAAGGAAGATTACCTCTCGAAACGTTCGACGAAATTGGAAAATAGGGCGACTCCTTATCTTGCGTGTGCGTCCGGTGCTTATGTTCTTCACTAGCCGTGCGAGTTTGAGGGAAAATTTAGGGAACTTGTTTAACTTTTGGCTGCTGAAAGGGGCTTAATATATGCTGCTTGTCTTAAACGAAAAATGGGGAAAATTTTGTCCCAATATCCCCCTTTTATACTTGGAGCCGTGGGGAGGAAGGAGTGACGAGGGGCGACGTGGTGCCTTAAATCATTGCCAATTGCTAATTTAGGAGCTAATTTGAAGATGACTAATCATCTCCCTAAGCTTGCCACGTAGCTCATAAATTGAAGAGAAAATAGACTTCCTTAGGACTTAGGAAATAAAATGAGTTCCTTTTACTTAAGCACATATATAATACCTTCGGCTTTTTATTTCCCTTAAGGGAATTTGGCACGGCTTGGTGCCCTAATGGGGAAATTAATTGGCCTTAATCACTTGTTAAATGTTTAATTATTAATTAAACATAATACTTAATTACCAAAATTATTTCGAACGTATACGGTAAGCCGAAAATAAATTTTGGTAATCTCGACTGAACCTAATTAATTCTGAAAATAATAAACGTTAACATTATTATATCGGAATTAAAACGTAATTTATACCGATAAAATATCGGGATATTACAATCCTCCCTCCTTACAAAATTTCCGTCCTCGGAAATTCAAAACATAACTGATATACATGAATTGTGTACATAGGATAAAGAAATATGTACATCAAAACTGAAAATCTGAGAAACGAGCGCGAATGTCGGACTCTTCCTCCCAAGTAGCTCCGTGGCGATCCCACTGAATGCGCACAAGGGGAATATCTCGCTTCCAGAGCCGACGGACCTGACGGTCTAATACAGCTACCGGTCGCTCCTCGTACTTAAGATCTGACTGAACCTGAATATCCGTATGAGGGATGACATGATCGGGGTCGCACACGTACTTACG